GAACATATGAGCTGAGCTAGAGGATGAGTTAAGAAATTCCCCATCTCCCCTTCCATGCAGACAGCTGCATTATTCTTGGGTACCAAAAGGCTCTTGGTCACCCAGAGAGGGAACCCCCAGCTCCCTACCATGGGGAGTCACATTTTACTCCAGCCTCTGCAGAAAGTCCCCCAAGTCCCTGCCACACCTCCCAGGATGCCACACCTTCCAGGAGCTCCCACCCCTCCTATCACTCTTCCCAGCTAATAACACCTTCCTCTCTCCCAGCCAGCATTTCTAATTAAGTCCTTGTCCTCAGCCAGCCCTGCCAGGCAAAACCTGCTGGGCCAGAAACACACCTGTCCTACTTCCGCTTCTGTGTGGCATTAAATTCTGGAAAATGTGTGCCTTACCCAGAGCCACACCACCCTTGGCCTCCTGCTCTTCCTCCCACTCCCTGGCACCGTGGCAGCCCTGGAGCAATGTGGGGCACATTGGTGGGGATCGACAGTGCTAAGGCACAGGCCCCTTTCCTGCTGTTTCTTGCATGCTGCCATGTTCTAGATGCTGGGGAGTGCAAAAGAAGAAGGGCAAAATCAGGGCAGACACAGAAGCAGAAGGGCAGAGACAGAAAATAAGCATCAAGGGGCAGAGAGGGAGGCAGTGTGAGAGAAAGAAAGAAAAAGAGAGAGATAAGCAGAGGTGAGAGGGAGACAGAGACAAAGAGTTACTAAAGAAGAGAGAGAGAGAGAGAGAGAGAACTCAAGTGGGAAAGAAAGAAGCCAAAGGGACAGAGTATAGGAAGTGGCTGGGCAGGTGGGGTTGGGACACAGTTTTGCAAGATTTCTCTCACTCTTTCCCTTGCCTTGCTATGATTATTTAGTACAGACAAGAGAGAGTTGTCCATAAATTTGGAAATTCCAAATGGAAAATGCCAGATGCCGAGGGAATGTTTTCCTTTTTCATTTAGTCTTCAGGGACTGTATCTTCATTCTTTGATTTATGGTACTCCCTTCTACCCCAGCCTCATGGCGTGTTATCTTTAACTCTGGGCGGCAGTTAGAACAAAGCACCTTCTTGATCACTGTTTTCTAACATTTTAACTAATATTTATTGGGACACAGTTCCTGCCCCTCCCCACCACACCCCTGGCTGTGGCCTTCATAGTGAGAAGGTCACAGAAGCATCCAAGGATGGTGGGGAAACTTTGGTGGTGGAGCATGTTTTTCCCCAAATCTCACTGATGGGGGCGGGAGGGGGGGGTGCACCAGAAGGTGGGAGCAATGGTTGGCCTGGAATGAAGATGGAATTAACCTGTGAAAAATCTGACGTGCTGCAACAGTGGGCAGCTTCTGTGTAAAGACACAGGATTTTCCACTCTGACAAATATCTCAAGACCAGTAAGGGAAGAGCAGCCGCCCTCCCAGGCTGGGAATGCTGCCTGTGCTCACCCAGCCCTGCCCAGGCATGGCTCCTGCCCTTCCATTGCACTGACACAAAGGCCCCCATGTGCCCCTGGAGATCCTGAGACCTGGCAGGTGTGGTGCAGCCTGGGGAGTCCAGGTCAGGAGGGAGAAGTGGGGGGGAGGCAGTGAGGAGGCACCAAGAGGCTCAGGTGACGTTCACGGGCACCTGGGGGCGGGCGGAGATGTCATTTCTAGTCTGGAGAAACAAGAAGCCTTTTGGAAGAGCTAGCCTGGATAAGTGTCTTAAAACCTGGTATAATCGCAGTGGTCAGGAATGGGGCAGGGACAGTGTGGGCAAAGCATCCAAGATGAACAAGCCCAGGAGGTGAGCCCATACCTTGCCCACCTGGGTTCATTCTGTAAGAAAAGGTAACTTGGAGTGAGGTTGTGGAAAGCCCTAATTGCCATGCTGAGTTGTTTACTTTACTCTGTCCAAAAGGAGGGACCACAAAATGATTTTGACCAGAGGAATGGTGCCATGCTCAGAATCTGAGTGTCCCTTCCTTTCTTTAACTCACTGAGTGAACTTGAACGGTCATCTGACCTCTTTGGGTTCAATTTTCTATAAAATGTAGGGTTTTAGCCAGGTAAGTATTTTATTCTGGAACCAAAGAAAACTTCATTGGGTGTCTTTTTTTTTCTCCTAGCTAATAGTTGTGGAAAACAACTGACAAGATGAGCTCTAGAATCCCTCTCATTCTGGCAGTCCAGGGGCCATGAAGGAGGTGTGTCCCTCCTTTACCATGGGCTCCTTCAGACCTGCCAAGTCCTGTGTGCCTCAAGTTTCAGGCCAGCCTGCTCTCCCAGGGAGTGCCAAACTCCTGGGGCTGCCAGGGCTGGTGCCTACGAAGGCACATCCTTCCTGCTGCAAATAGGACTAATAGATAACTGAAGGAAAGAGAAAGTTCTTCTCTAACCTTGAGGTCTTCCAGCTGGACTGGGAATTAAATTTATGTGAGATAGATCAACAGGAGATAAAAACCTGAAAGTTTTATTAAGTGCACATGGAGGCCTAGGAATGAAATTGAGAAATAAAGAAATGACCAAAGCAGGCAGTTTTTATACTTTTTAGACAAAGAGACAATAAATTTGTCAGGCATTGACAGAACAAAGAAAACTTAACTTTGGGAGCTTAGAGTAGTAAATTAGTAAAAAGTAACAAGAGTTGTTTATACAGACTTCTCTGCTCTAAATTCCCCACCTCTGGTGATAAGGATGTCTCTTTACCTTCTGCTACAGGAAAGGTACCTTTCACAGGAGGAGATTTATTTCCTGGTTTCAGGGGGATTGAGGAGGGTCTGAGTGTCCTTCTAGCACAGGCTGTCTCTTAAGTAACTTTTACTTAAAAGCATTGGTATGCCAAAGTGGCACATTTTGGGCAGCCTGCTCTTGACCTCTATGATAGCAAAACCACAGCAATAGCGACATGAATAGCCATACCTCCACGAACTTTAATAGAATCATTATCACATGCCAACCATAAGGTCTAAGACCTTACCACATTTCATTCACTTAATCCTCACAACAATCTTCTGAGGTGGTGAGGGGTAGTATGAACCCCACTTTATATGATTAAGGGGAGTTGGGAAGAATTTCTCTATACTGAGGACTCAGAAGAGGCAACTGCACAGAATGGGCTGCCTCAGAATTTGCCGTGAAAAAAAGCATTTGCCAGCTGAGTGCTCTGCTTTTACTTAGATTGTATATGTGAGACCAATACAAGTTAAAAATTTGGAGAAGACAATAGTCCAGACCATGCAGTGTTGTTGATTTGAGGAGGCCTTGATGAGTGCTGGTGGAGGTGGGGGAGTCTACAGCCCTGTCCACAGCCTGCCTGGGACAGGGGTTAGGGGAGGTCAACAAGACCCTGAGGCCTGGGGTTTGAATCAAAGGGAAGAGAACCTTCCTCAATCAAAGGTAGGATTATAAGAAAGGTCAAGAAATTTGAAGGACACAGTTTTTATCGTGATACTATTTCTCAACATCTCACATCCACCTTGTTGGCTACTCCCTGTGTGAAGGGCTGGGAAACTCATCTTTAATGTTTTAAGAGATGGAGAAACATAAGGTTCTTCTGGGAAGTCTGTATCCAGCCCCCTCTCCCCAGGAAAGGAGCCTCTGGTGGAGAGAGCTCAGGGGGTTCTCCAGGAGCCACCTCTTGCTGGCTCGGTAAATCAGGAAGGGGCACTGGGTCCCATAGCGTACTTGACCCTCCAGATAAACCATTCCTTCCTCTGTTTACATGCCAGGTGGCCTGAGGGCAAATAATGAAAGGACAGCGAATCCAGTAAGATCACAGGGACAGTCTTTGAGAAGCAAAAGGCCTGTAAAACTGAGAGGCTGTTAAAACCTGCCTAGTTGAAGATATGTAAAACACTCTAAGGGCAAAGACACTGTATGAATATCAAAGGTGTAGAGGGGAGAAAAGTCCATGTTTCTGGCTACTTCTTTTTATCCCTCCCCTCCTTTTTCCTGTTGTTTCCAGATCAGGAGAAAGAAGAGCCAACCCATGTGCTTCCAGTGAACAGCAGAATACTGCCTACCCTGTACGGAATACTTCAGTGTCTGGCTTCTCTCTGGGCGGGAGGGGCCCAGACCTGGAGGGTTGTAGAGTGCCCAGGCTCTGGGTCCCCATTGAACCCTACACCCAGTGGGCACAACTAGGCAAAGGCAGACTACAGGCACAGGCGACTTGTGTGGACACAGCCCAGATGGGCCTGGAGGAATGCAGTCTCTGTCCTCAGGGAGCTCAGTGAGGACAGGAGATAGGACCCTAGAGGCACAGCAACCATTACACATAAGCCACCAGAGCTGGCTCTGAGGCTCAGACTCAGAAGGGCAGGAACAGAGAGAAAGCTGGCAGGAGGGAGGACTGCCCCAGAAGGCATCCCCAGAGAAGGGGTGGTGGAGCAGACTGAAAAGGGGAGCAGGGACTCGATCCACTTGTTCGTTTATTCATCCAACAAATTTCTGTAGTGACTACTAGACTCCAGACACTGCTGAGGAACTGAGGACATGGGGACAAATAAAATTGGAAACCTTCACAATCCAGTGGAGAGGAGAAGAACACCTGTAAGGGATAGAGCCCTGAAATAAGGGCCATATCCACATGTGGACAAGTCAGTGTGTGAGCAGAGAGGGGCTTCAGGCCTTGAACCTGGGTCCTGTGTGAATCTTGGGGGCTGCCGGGCAGATGGCAGGGCTAAGGTACATGGGGCAGAGGGGCAGCCAGAAAGGGAAAGAGAAGTCAAACAAGCATCAGCCCATCTTCCCACCTGGCTTAGGAGCTGGGTGCCCAGGGGAGGGGAAGATGAGGAGAGAGGAAGGTGGGGCCTACTCAGAGGGCTGGGAATGCCCAGCTCTGGGGTCTCAGAGCTACTTGGAGGATGGTGGGGTGCTAGCAGTAGAGGATCACACTAACCTGAGAAAGGAGGGACAGGATGGGGCTGACTGGGAGGGGACACCAAGTGTTGAGTCAGGGTGGAGGGTGAGGACAGGGGAAGCCTAGCAGCCAGGCGGGCACAGGGAACAGTCTCAGAAAGAGCAGGGGCTCCCTCAGTGTTTGAAATGAGGCCAAGTCTTAATGATGTTGTACAAAGCTTGCCCAGGAGACAGGGTGTTGACAATATCACTGTGCCCCACCAGCAGGTAGTTGGGAATTAAATATCCCTTGTCCACTGCACACTGGATCAGGTCTGGGCTGCCTCCAAGGCTGCAGCATTGGGCGACTTTTCTGCAAAACACATTTACCCCATCAATCATTAGGGTCTCAAGTTTACTTGCTTAGGACAAGGACAAGCACCTAGATTCCAGTCTCCCTCTGTTTCTATCCCTACCACCACCATCACAGCCAACAAATTCACAAAAAATGTGGCAGCCCAACCAAGCACAAAGAGAAAACAAGGTCACTGTGTTCTGTTTCCTCCTTGCAAAGTTCCTTCCAGAAATTTCAAAACTGCTCTGGAAGAGAGCTGCAGTACAATGCAGCACTCCTCAGTAGGCACCACAAGGCAGACATGGCACCACTGGACTGTCCACTGCTCTCCCATAGCAGGCAGTGTGCTCCCCAACATTGTCGCCATGGTTACCAGGGAAAAGGATACATTTGCCAACTGAGCCATAAAAGCACCAAAGTTTGCAAAAGAGTGTTCTCTCTTGCTCCATGCTTGCCTTGGGTAGGGCTGTAAAGAGAGATAGAGTGGAGTATTGGGGAGATGGGGACTCCCCACCTCCCCAGTTGGGGACAGGTGGATTTGGGGAGAAGTTCTGCCTGGCAGGGACTCCTGGTGACCTGCATCCTGTATTGAGAGTTCACTTTAAAAGCCAAAATGCTCCAACCATGTTGCCAGGTACCACAGTGTTGCCTTTTCCCCCATGCCTCCCAGACATTGTACATGGTACTTCCTTTCCCAGAACGCTCCCTGCTCTATGCTTACTCCTTACCTACAAAGTTGCCTATGAAGGCAATTCCTAGGGCAATATCGTTGTATCCATAGGTGTGAGAGCCTTGGATATGCCAGCCAACTCCTTCATATACGCCACCATCCTGGCCCACCAGGAAGCTAGGATTGGGCAAAGGAAAATAGAGAAAGTCACTCAAGGAAGGATAATTGGTTTAATTCACTCCTGGAATCATTAATTCATTCTTTCTTCCATTTATCAGGTATAGAGTGAACATCTTTTATGTGCCAATGTGCACAGAGACAAAACAAAACAAAACAAAACAAAAAATCCCCACATCGCTGAACCCAAGAAGTGAAGATGAACAATGACAAGCAGTGATAACAGCAACTTCAATCCACTCCAACATGGTCTTTGTCCCCATAGCTCCACTAGTTTGACCCTGCGAAGGTGACCTGTGACTGCCTTGACATTAGTACAAAAACAACTTGTTTTTGTTCTAGTTACACTGTCCCTGTTGGCCACTCTCTTCTTGGAATGTTCTCTCCTATTTTCCTCTACTCTGCTGCTTCCCCCAGGGCCCTCTACCATCCACGTCCCTTTCCCCAAACATGGTGCTCTTCAGGAGTCTGGCCTTCCCCTTCTGTCTTGTCACTCAGCATATTCTCCTGGGACAGGAGATTCGCCCAGTCCCATGGCTTCAGTTACTATCTATAAAAACCAATATGTCCAAAGGAACAGTTCTTATTCTGCAATTTCCTCAGCCAGAACAGTGGGCATTACCTGCATGCCTCCCCCCCACCACCAGTCCCGGCCAACCATTAGACATGATACATGGCTGTATTTCCAACCTTGATTCCTCCACTTCTCTCTATGCCGACTACCACCACACTGCTCCAAGTCACCATCACCTGCTCTCTGGATTACTGCAATAGCTCCCTACCCAGAGGTTCACCTCCTCCTAATCCATTCCTGCAACAGCACCCCAAGTGCTTTTCCTAAAATACAAGTCCTATCATGGAACATGACATCCAGTTGTCTTTCGAATAGAGTTAGTCTGACAGGACCAACTCCCATGTCCTCTGGTGTACCTCTGAGGGACCCTGTCAGCTTCTCCAGCCTTACCTCTCACCAATCCCCTCACTGAAATCTATTTCTAGGCATGAATTAAGCTCCTTTCAGTTCTTCAAAGATACACCCTCTCTGGACCCCAGGTCTTTGCATATGCCACTCCCCTTACCTGGACCACTCTTCAACCTTCTTTGCCTCACTAATCCCCAATCCTTACCCACCTCAGAGCCTGGATACCACTCTCTCCAGAAGCCCTTTCCTGGCACCGCTCACTCCCCTAAATCTTGTTAGAGGCTCTTCCTCTGCATATCCTGTTCCTCATTTGGTCACAGTGTTTAACACACAGGATTGTCATTACTGCTCACTGTCTTCTCTCTACTATTCCACAAGGGAAGGTACCATATCCATTCTGCCAACCACCCAGGCTCATAGTGGACAGCCAATAAATATTAGTTAAAATGTTAGAAAAACAGTGATCAAGAAGGTGCTTTGTTCCAACTGCCGCCCAGTCAGAGTTAAAGATAACACGCCATGAGGCTGGGGTAGAAGGGAGTACCATAAATCAAGAAATGAAGATACAGTCCCTGAAGACTAAATGAAAAAGGAAAACATTCCCTCGGCATCTGGTATTTTCCATTTGGAATTTCCAAATTTATGGACAACTCTCTCTTGTCTGTACTAAATAATCATAGCAAGGCAAGGGAAAGAGTGAGAGAAATCTTGCAAAACGCAGCAACTATTTCTTCATGTTTGTAAAAGCTGCTTTTATTTTTTTATTATGTTTTTTATTTTAATTCCAGTATACTTAACATATAGTGTTATATTGGTTTCAGGTGTACAATATAGTGATTCAACAATTTTATATATTACTCAATGCTCATCATAAGTATACTCTTTAATCTCCATCACCTATTTTATCCATTGCACCACCAACCTCCCTTCTGGTAACCATCAGTTTGCTCTTTATAGCTAAGAGTCTGTTTCTTGGTTTCTCTCTCCCTTTTGTCTTTCCTTTGTTTGTGTGTTTTGTTTCTTAAATTCCATTCTCAATGGATTAAGGACCTAAATGTGAGACATGAAACCATAAAAATCCTAGAAAAGAGTACAGGCAGTAATTTCTCTGACATCAGCCTAACAACATCTTTCTAGATATGTCTCCTAAGGCAAGGGAAACAAAAGCAAAAATAAACTATTGGGCCTACATCAAAATAAAAAGCTTCTGCACAATGAAAGAAACAATCAACAAAACTAAAAGACAACCTGCTGAATGGGAGAAGATATTTGCAAATGACATATCTGATAAAAGGTTAGTATCCAAAATATATAAAGAATTTATACAATTTGGGGCACCTGGGTGGCTCAGTCATTAAGCAACTGCTTTCGGCTCAGGTCATGGTCCCAGAGTCCTGGGATCGAGCCCTGCATCGGGCTCCCTGCTCAGCGGGAAGCCTGCTTCTCCCTCTCCCACTCCCCCTGCTTGGGTTCCCTCTCTCGCTGTGTCTCTCTGTCAAATAAATAAAATCTTCAAAAAAAAAAAAGAATTTATACAATTCAACACCAAAAAATCACAAGCAATCCAATTAAAAATGGGCAGGAGATATGAACAGACATTTTCTAAAGAAGACATCCAGATGGCAAAGGCTGCTTTTAAAATGGGAGTTAAAAGTAGAGAGGCAGCCAGCCCAGAACAACACATATGCAAAAGCAATCCCCCTGAGACTGTGGTTTTGTTTGAGTAAGTCACAGATGAGTAAGTGAATTTTATCATATGCTAAACCTAAATTCCTTCTATGAAAATTCCAAGGCACCTTCCAAGTGGCTTCCACTATTCCACTAGCTTAATGTGTTTCTTTATTATAGACCTGGCCTTAAAGGAACCAAAAAAATTTTTTTTTGATTTCACCTATATCTTCAAATAGTTAAGGTATTTTGTCCCTATTTCAGAGATGAGGCAAAAGAGGCCCAAGAAAGTGAGACGTTTGTGTATCTATAAAATGGAGTAAATAATACCAGAGGTATTGCAGGATTCTAACATCAGAGGGCTCAAGTCTGGGGTTGGCCCAGGCCAAGGTAAGGGGTGAGCAGGGCCTGTGTCCCTCAATGGCTGGAAGGGATTGCATAAAAAGGCATAATCCTTTGATGACCTTCAATAAGGATCTCATGGCCTTGCTTTATCATTATTATTGTTAATGTCTTTTCAGATTCTTCCCAACCACACGTAGAAAGTATGCCCAGGACAGCTAACTGACCCTTAGCTATGCTCTGACCGATACTCAGTCCAGAGTCTTGCACGAATAAAATATAATGTTTTATGTGAAGCACCTGTCACAAAGAAAGGGCTCAGTAAATATCAGTTCCTTCCCCAGCTTTCCTTCCTACAGCCCTTCATGAAGAGAAGGACCCACTTACTGATATCCAATGTCACAGAAGTGCTGTGTGTCCATGTGGAAGGACTGTATATCTCAGATGCGAATATGGCAGTCCATTGGTACACTGCAGGTTGTATCAGCCGTGTGGATGATGATGACATATTTGGCTGGGAGGTTCATTTTAGGGCAGTGTGTCTCTCTGGCTTCCCAAACTGACTGCGAGATGATGTTGGGGCAAGCTGTAGTAAGGTAAAAAATCAAGGACATGGGAACACACCTGGGGCCATCTGTGGACAAATTCACAACTGCAGGCTGGGTTACTCCTCAGTCTCCCCAACCTCTGGCACTCATTGGCACATCCTGATGTGAGCTTAGCTGTGGAATTCTGGGAAAGTCCAGATAGGGACTGACTGGGTTACATGGCTGGAGCCATGAGACAGGCAAAAAAATCTACAGTTTCTGATAACAATTGTGGAAATCATTATATGAACAGAAGGGAAAGGACTGTTGTTTGTACAGAGGCATGGTCATTTTATTCAAAAGACAAAGTATGCCTACCCACTTGATTACATATTGCAAATGTATGCATGTTTGTGTACCTATGTAACAGGACAGTATGCAGAAATCAGCTGTCTCTCTGACCTGATCATATGGAAATAATTCAAAATACATAAACTCTACAAATGCTCAAAATATCATACCTCTTTACCACTATCAGATAGCATTCATCTGAAAGCCAGAAACACTTTATTTAGAGATTTACAATTTTTAAAAAAGCTTAATAAAAGAATCCTTAAGTCCAAGGAGAGGTACACTCTAGCAGAGAGCTAGATTAATTGTACTGGTTTTAAGTCACTGCTTATTCACTCCAAAATAGCACATGATTTTCATTACCCAACTTCCTGGAATATTCACTCTGATGTCAGTGTCACCTGTGAACTCAAGTTTTTCACACTGCTGTAGTCATGTTGCAGGATAGTTGGGTTTCACACTTAGAAAGCTGTGTGTGTGTGTGTATGTGTGTGCATGTGTGTGTGTGCGTGTGTGTGTCTATATGTACTCACCTGGTATACACAAACATGTATAAATATTTACCCCATCTCATTTCCATGTTTTCTTTCTATTCATAGCCTTTATGCAATCTGACATCATTATGTATTATACTTGTTGAGTTCTTCGTTTTCTGTCTTTCCTCACTGAAATGTGCAGATTTGTATATTTGTTTACAGCTGTATGCTCAGTCCCTATAATAGTGCTTCATATTCGGCAAATATTTGTTTCTTGAGGGAAAATGCATGCACATATTTATTTATGTCAAGAATGGTCCCATGGCTATATCATTCTAGTAGGAAGAAGAGGAGGCCAGGAAGGTGGCCTGTCAGAATTTTTCAGATCTCAGCATGAAGTGTTCTTGATCCAAGAAGCCAATGAACACCAATAGGACAGAGCATTCCCCAATGTGGTTGAGTGGTAACTGGGAGGAAGGTGAGGCAAGATTGAGGGTGTTGCCTTTCCTTGGCATCACTGGCTGCTGAGGGGCCAGACAGTCATCTTCTTTCAAGAGTAGTGGCTGAATATACCTCGGTGACAAATGACCCTTTTGGATGGCATAGGAGATCAGGTACTCTGCAGCTGATAAGGAGGCAGGGCTGGAACTGCTCCCTGAAAGAGGATAATGTGGAACATAGAACTGTCAGCAAGACACTCCAATTTGGCCTATACATGGAGGGAAGGTAAGATGCCCAGCCAAGCCTGAATAACCTATAGATGGGAAGAGAGAAAGTTAGTCTGGTAGCCAAAATGGGGGCCTAAGAGACAAGGAGCTACTTGGACAGAGCTCTTGGAAGCCAATTGGTGACCTCTCCCAAGTGCCACCCTAAGACTTTATCCACTCCATCTCTAGGTGACAGAGCTGGGCGGCAGTGAAAGTTGCATGCCAACGGGGGGCCCACCTGATCAAGTCAGGTGTGACCTAGCATGCAGAAAAAGGTGCCAGGATTTACTTTATCCCACAATCAGGCATGTGGCAAAAGCTTTTTACACCCATTAGCTCATAATTCTCACCGAAAACCTCCCAGATAAATGCTATTCTTAGCCCCAGTTGGCAGATAAGGATCCTGGCAGGTGTGTTATTTATCTACTAGCTCTTAACTCCATTCCTTTCTGAGCTTTCTTCTGTTTTGCAGGGGACTTGAAACCTGAAAACTACATTTCCTAGGCTTCCTTGCTTCCAGCTCTAGTTGGGTTCTACCAATGGGAGACACCACAGCAAGAGAGAAGCCATGCTTTCCTGCCTCTGCCATCCACAGCCTCAGTGTCATACAACTTCAGATTCCAGCAGTGATGGTAAGAACTGAAAGCATGTCACTGGAGAGCACACCAGAGAGGAGGAAGAGGACAAAAATAAAAGCCATGTCATAGACTCCAAGGAAGAAAAGAGCTCAAGAGTGTGGTGAAGACCAGTATGGTGTAAGCTGGAGAGACAAGGGTGTTGAGACAGAGGAGCAGAGCAAAAGAGTGTGGAAAACTTTCTGGCAGAGGGTCTGAAGGGACAACCATTACCTATCTTATTGCCAAAGAAGGCGATTCCCAGGGAGATGTTGTTGTAGCCCTGGGTGTGCACACCTTGGATGTTCCAGCCAAGGCCTTCATACACCCTGCCATCATCCCCAACCAGGAAGCTGCCAGGCAAGGAAACATGAATTTAATGACAAATCCCTCTACCAGGATCCTGACCTCTCACTCATCCTCAGAGGGGAAAATGCTTCCAGAGGCTCATCAATAAGTACTATGATTTTTTTAAAGATTTTATTTATTTATTTAGAGAGAACAGGAGCAGGGGGAGTGTCAGAGGGAGAGGGAGAGGGACAAGCAGATTCCCTGCTGAGCTAGAGCCTGACACAGACTCAATCCCAGGACCCTGAGATCATGACCTGAGAGGAAGTCAGACACTTAACCTACTGGGCCACCCAGGCACCCCCAACTACTATGCTTTAATGACCTAACAATGTGACATAGAGATAACTCATTTAGATTTCCAAGAGATGTGAGAATACACTTTAAATTATGCTGTGACTTAGCTTACATGTGTTTCCCAGAACCTCACTTTCAAAGTGGAATTCAAATGTATGACTCTCAAGCACCTGAGGACATTAGTTCAGCATTTATTTTTCCAGGGCAATGAAAATTCATCCATCCCATTTTTAAATTGTAGGAGCAAGCACATGAATGTTTAAAATAAACAACTGGAATTCAGGAATCCCTTTAAATTGGCATTTCTCCTTAGGAGTTTCTATAAGCTCTTCTTTACCACAGAAATTTGTTTAGAATATTCCTTTTTTCAGTTTCTTTTAAAAACAATATATATATTCCTTTGTCCCACCTCCTCCCTCCTTTCTCTGTCTCTACAATTTTCTTGTGCTCCACTTTCCCACCAGTCTTCAGAAATGGTGTTTGCACAGGTCTTGTCACATTCTGCTTTTAATAAACTGTGAGTTTCTACAGCAAACTGAGCACAGAAAGAACATTTTCCTGAGGTTGCCTAAAGACTCTGAATGGAGGTGGGTCCACCTCCTGCCTTGCGCTGACGTGGCCTAGGGATCAAGTGGAGCCTCAGTATGCCCACCACGTACTTGGCTTTGCTGCCTGGACTTTCAGCACGTGTGTGTGTGTGTGTGTGTGTCCTCATTCTTAAGGGGGAAAGAAGAGGTCTGGGCCTCCACTGATAATCCCTGAGGATTATCCCACTCCATGAACAGCCTAAGGATCTCCATGCTTCACCCTTGTTTTAACACGGGGCTCTCCCCACCCATCCCCACCACCATTCCTCCCATGAGATCAGGCCTTAGTGTGAGGTGGCCCTTCAAGGAACCCACTGGGAGAATGCCCCTCACTGTCTGTGTGTGGATGTGGGATGGGTGCTGGAGCAGCAGGTAATCTGGGAACAGCTCTGGGTCCACACTCCTTAACCATGTGACTGAGCAAATTCTCTGCCTTCCCCAGACCATGGCAACCTCACCTGTGGCACAAGGGGTGGTAATATTTCTCCTACCCATTCCTCACTGTGGCCGGGGGGGCGGGGGGCTACCTGGGTAACACTCATGAAGATCTTTGTAAACTATAATGTTCTGCAGGTTCCAGGGGCGACTGTAGTTATTACACAACTTCCCTTGCTTGTTCCAGGATGCCGAGTGTCCAAGACCACCTCTGAATAAATGGCTCAGAGACGTTTCTCCTAAACACCTCTGAGGATTCTGCATTTTGTTTGTTTGAACATTTTTTATTCATTATAAAAGCAACATAAGTGGGAAGAGGGGAAAACTAAACAAGGGGAAGTGGATGGCCCCCTCAGAGACAGACTTGAATGTGGCTCCAGGACCCACCCATTCTCTTACTTGTAGGCCACATCGCACCAGCGTTTGGTGTAGACAGAATGGGACTGAAGGTCCCGAAGCCTCTGGCTGCAAACATCCTGCTCCTGGCACTCCATCCCTGTGAGCTGGTCCACGATGACATAGGCCACAGGTGGGTTCAGCTGGGCCCTGCAGGCCAGTGACCTCGCCCCCAACTCTGTGCGGGAGACAATGGTGGGAGCTTCTGCAAGGGGACCACAGGATGGCACACAGCAGGCCCTATTAATTCTTCTGCAGGCCTGGGAGAGGCCCCTGGAGGCCTTCACCACCCACAGCCTCTCCTTCCCATCTCCATAGTCCATTCTGGCTAAAAACAGTCCCTATGCAGACTACATCAGCCTCAGAAGCGAAGCTGTCTTATTCTTCAAACACTCCTTCCTTGTATATCCTAGAGGACAAACCTCCCTCAGCCCTTCTCTGGCCTGCTTCCAGAATGCAGCCCCTGTGACACCCAATGCCAGCCATGGGACTCTCAGCTGCCTTCTCTTCCAAGCACCTTAGCATGGATGCCTTGGAATGCACTGTCCAGACCTGTCTTTTATCTGGTCCTCCCCTCAGAATGATGGTTCTTGGAGGAAAGCTCTGCCCCTCTCCTTAAACTACAGCCCACAGGAAATTCCCTGAGCATTGGATATATGTCTCTCTTCCATGTGAAAATGCACTGTGGGCAGGGCTGAGAGCCCTACACAGGACCCCAGGGCCCCATTCCCTTACTATCTTTATCTTGGGAGTTCTCAAGAGCTCTCTGAAGAATGGGGTATCTCCACCTTCTTACTGATAGCTGGGGATTGGGGGCCTTGTTCTTGTTCCCTGGGTTTTCCCTCCTTCCTGGAAACCACCTTTGCCTGAGGACTTAGCATAATCTATGGGAGTCAATGGCAGATGACCTTTATGGGATTCTACCCCACTGATCAACCTAGCCCAGCCATAATGAAACACTTCTGGCCACCTGAGGAACCCCAGTCAAACCACCTCATCATTTCGACCCTTGTGAATGAGCTGAGAGAAGCCAACAAACAGGTCCAGAAGCCCCTCTGACAATCCTCTGGCTTGGGTTTCATTCCAGGAGAACAGTGGAGAATCCCCTGCAAAGGAGCATTGCACTTGGTGCTGGTCCTTGGAGAACACCTGGACCAGTGAAAAGGCATGGACTCAACATCCCCACCCCTAAGTCCACAGCCTCTCAGTCCCCCAAGTCCCCTGACATCCTCTAGGAAACAACACAAAGGAGTGCTGTTTCTGGCCTCACCCCACCTCTGCCTCTCACATCTGCCCCAATGAGGTCTTCATGCTCCCCCAAGCCCCCTCCATTCCAGAGACACTGCCATCTCTCCTCCCCTCCCCTTTTCTGAGTAGCTCTAGCTTTCCTGGCTCACATGGCTTTCCTGGCTCACACCATCTTGCTATGTGACCCTCTGATATGCCCAGATCAGAGAGTCACATAGCAAGGGTCACATATATATGCCCAGATCAGAGGGTCACATAGCAAGATGGTCACCATTATTTTGGGCTAACATGTATACATGTATCAAGCTTGTATTGACCCAGACAGTTCTTGAAATACAGAAATTTGCAGATTGTTGTTGACTGCCCTCACAAACTGTTCAGTACCAGAGGACATGGGAGTAAAACTCACTAGAACTAGCAGTGTCACCAACATCACCTCCCACAGGCCAGCTCTGTAGTTGCAAAGCACTTTTAAGAGCATTATCAATCAGATTTGTGGCTTAAAACAAGTGTACATGATAAGCAAAGAAAATTAACCACTCCCTCAACACAGAGGAGAAACTGAGGCTCAGAGAGGTTAAGTTACTTGTCTAAGATGATACGGGTTTAAGCCATGGATTTGGATTCCAGCCTAGGCTGTCTGACCCAAGCTGTGTTCAGTGCCACTACTCTCTGTGGCTTCCCCAAAGATGTCTGATGACCTTGAGCAAGCCACTGCCACAATGGGGCCCAGCCTGTATCTTCGTCTATAAGTCAAGGTCACTAAGGGTCTCCACCATGTTTCTGATATTCTGTCCTTCTGTCAAATGATCAGGAGAAAATTCATGACCATGACACTGAGGCCAAGGTATGGGAACACTGCTGAGGACTGGAACACTGCTGAGGACTGGAGTCACTCTCAGCAGGGGAAGGGATACTTGAGCTGGGCTTTGATGGGCAATAAGGATTGGTCAGAAGGACCAATCTATGAGCAAGGAAGAGGATGTCTTACAAATAGCACTAAAAGCACTTCTGACCCAATGAAAGAAAACTCACCCCAGACCCTGAGACCCAGAGAGCAGAAGACAAGAAGCCACAGCAGCAACCTCATGTGATTGCAGGACACCAACAGGGATAGTGTGGATCTTGCCCCTGGGAGAGATGCTGACAGTTAACCCAACTGTGATCATTCCTCAAATGGGGCATCCACCCCACTGCACTGCACCTCTGCCTGTCTCCCACCAAACCAAGAGCAGCACCTGTCTAGGCCTCTCTGGGTCCCCAGCACAAGGCCTGACCTTTAGCAAGTGCTCAATAAAGTTGAGGGTGCTAACATCTCTTGCCCAAAGTTACCCAACCAATAGGGGCAGATCAGGATTCATACCGAAGTATGTCTGACTCCACAGTCTCTGCCTGGAACTTCTCCACAGTTTGTCTGAGTTTCTGATGCTGGAGATTCTCAATGTCGGCCCAAGAGGATAAACCCCAAGATCTCTGTGGTCCTTTCTGACTGCAGGAATTTTGTTGGCTCTCTCAGGTAGAAATGAATTGCTTGCCTGTGCTCAATCACAATCACAATGAAATACCAGCTCCCCAAGATGTCAAGCAAAACATCAACTTTTCTCCCAGTTTTCCTACTGAGAAATGATAAAGGGAGGTTTCAGATAAAATGAGAAATATTATTGCTCTCCAGAGTTTTCATATTATAATCAATAGTCCCCAGATGGAAAATGTTTAAAGATTTTATTTATTTGAGAGAGAGAGAATGAGAAAGAGAGAGAGAGAGAGCATGAGCTGGGGGGAGGGACAGAGGAAGAAGGAGAAGCAGAACTCATGCTGAGCAGGGAGCCCTATATGGGGCTCAATCCCAGGACCCTGAGATCATGACCTGTGCCTAATGTAGATGCTTAACTGACTGAGACCCCCAAGGCACCCCCAGATGGAAAATGTTTAGAACCTCAGTTTAAGACCTGAGCATATGGGAACTTCCTGGATCAGGACAAACAATCTCTTAGTGCATAACACCCAGTTCCATTCATTTGGGAAGACTGTTGCTGAAGACAAAATGAGCCTATTACAGATGAGAGCAGGCACCTAATAAACATGTGGGAAAGTCTTCAGTGTTCCTCATTGGCCAAATGAGAGGCAAGGATTAACTTGCCCAACATGGAAGCCCTGTAGGCTGGCATCCCAGAAAATGAGGGATTTTGCAAAGCTACTTAGAAACCAGGAATCAATTCTGGTCAATAGGAGGTTTGGATTCTGGTCATTTGCTCATGGTGCTTCCCCAACCATAAGTGTTAAGGTGGCAAATGATGTCCCAAGCTTGTCATATCACACAGCTGAAATTAGAAGGCTTGAGCCTAGCCCCTCATCATACTAGGGCAGAGACTGGTGGCACACCCCACCCCCCACCTCCAATCACAAATACTGAGTTGGTGGGATTGCCTGGAACCAGGGTCATCTGCTTTGGCTTACAATGCTATGCATTCTGTATCCTTAAAATAAAGATAAAATAACAGAACAGAGGACAAGTGAGACATAATCGATAGGGATTCAGAACTAGACAGAAAGGAAAGAAATTGGTTAGAGGTAACCTCAGGACCCACAGCCTTGGCAAGAAAGATCCAGGCATGGTAGAACCAAACTCATTTAGTAGAATTTAGAATAGAGAAAGTTTTCTTATTTGAAGGAAGAGTTCAAGAGGGGAGATCAAGGAAACTTTCTCCACCATGTGAACATTTTAACCAGATAGAGTCCAGTCCCTTCCAAGGGAGAGGGCTTCTCAACAAGAAACACACTCACACCCACACTCAGAAATACCTGTGGGTCCCGCGCTGTCCCAGCCCCACAGGTCAGGGTGCAGGTGGCTCTCCCATCATTGGCTGGCAGTTCCTCCCTTCAGACTTGGCCTCTGGCCCTGCCATCCTTCTCCAGCTGCCACCTCCCAGGCCTTCAGGCTCTCTCTCATCACAGGGCACTCCCTCCCTGGGAAGGGAGCTCTTGGGCTCTGGCTTTCTAGAGAGAAGAGGAATACCTGGATCCCTAACAGAAGTTGGAGAGGGGGCAGTTCTGAGGCTCCCACAGGCTCCATCCAGGGCACCCAGAGGAACTGAGGGAGACCAAACTCAAGCTGAAAGCAAGGCCTCGCCCTGTGAATAAGCCCAGGTACCTCCTCCCTGGGAAATGGCATGATTGCCCAAGGCTCCCTGAGCTGCTTCCTCATCCCCAGTCCTTGGGAAGACTAGCCAACCCAACATCTGGGAACTTCCTGGCCTTGGAGGCAAATCTGCTCCAGGAGTGTCAAGGCTGTGGATGGTTGTCACTCATCAACACCCCACCTCATTCCACTTGTAACACCTGGGTCACCAGTGATGTAGGAAAGAACATTACAGTTCAAAGCCAACGGCCAAGAAAGAATTCTTCAGACGTCTTTGGTGCAAAAAGGTGTTTTTATTAAAGCATGCAGACAGGACCTGTGAGCAGAAAGAGCCACCCTGGAGTCATGAGGAGTGGCCCATTATATACTTTCAAGTTGGGAAGGGGTTAGGGATAGCTTAAGTCTCTAAGGAATTTTGGAAGCAAATTTCCAGGACCTTGAGGGGGCTAGCTATTGTTGGGAAAAGGTCATTTATTACCATCTAATAAAACCTTAGTCATGAGACCCTTCAGATGTATATCAGTGGGGATGCTTGGGGATGACTACCAACACATATCTTGGGGGGTTTAGAGATAAAGGAAATTTATAAAGGAGTTTTTATATGTTAAAGTAGACTTACAGGATCCTGGGGGCCAGGTGGTGGTTCCAGTTAGGATTGCCTTTTGCTCTTAAGCAAAGAGTCAATATCAAGGCAGTTGAGTCCCTAGTGGAATGTCACTTTGCCTGTTTCAAGGACTTGTCAATGGACCATAGGTAGTAAGGAAATTTAATAATTTTTTTTCTGCCTTTGTTTCCTACATCAACCAGCAGGGGTAGGATGGGGGCAAATAAATAGAAAGGTACATCCCAGGAGGTGGCACACAACATGTCATCATCACTAGACCTTATTTGACCCTGTGACCAGCTGGCCCATGCTTCTACCTCCCTACTTCAGCATCAAACTGTCTGAAACAAATGCCATAAGAAGTATTCTACAAACCAAAGCTCTCCACTCTCTTCACTCACTCTGGACAGTGACCTGTCTTCAGCTCTGGTCTCACAGAATCCCTGTACCTTCTCTGAGGAGGTCTATATGTAAGACTTTCCAAACATGCTCTGCCAAGTGTACCTGGGTTGCAGCCCCTGAAATGGGAGAACTTATACCAGAGGTCCTGAAAAGAACACTGCCCACTTGAGATGCTACTTGAATAGTTCCTGCTTTCTATACACTAATGGGCCCTGTTAAAAAAAAAAAAAAATTCAACTGAGTAAATTTGAAAATCTAACTGGCTTTGTTAAATGTTTCATGAATCAGGTAACATCCCATCTAGCAAGAAGAGGGGAGATCTAAGGACTTGTACAAAATGAAAGGTAGCTGTTACATTCTGGAGCAATATAAAAAATATTAAGAACATCAAAGGAGATTTCAGCTTCTTCATGATTGCCAAGATTAAAGGTTTCAGAGAAAATCACCACAGAATTCTCTAGAAAAACAATGTATATTTTGAGGAGAACTTTTAAGTGTTCTATACATATTTGCAGCATTATCATATTCTGGCTATAGCATACCTTCAAATCAAAACCATTTATTGGGGTGCCTGGCTGGCTCAGTCAATAGAGGATGCGACTCTTGATCTTGGGACTGTGAGCTCAAGCCCCACATTGGGGGTAGATTTTACTTTTAAAAAAATAGAAAAAGAAAACTGGGGGAGGAGTTAAGATGGTAGGCAGACCCTAAGCTTGCCTCGACCCTTGAACACAACTAGATCAAAATCAAATCATTTTGAACAACTAGGAAATAGATCTAAAGATTAAGAAAACAATCTGCACAGTTAGAGGGAGAGAACATGGTAGATGTGAGGTTCCGAGATGTGAACTGGGGGAGAGAAAAGCCACGGTGCTGCAGAGAGGAGGAAGCCCTTTTTGCAGAGAGGAGTCAAGGAGAGAGAGAGAGAGAGCTGGAGGGAGAACAGCATGTAGGGTTTGCACAAGATGCCAAGGTGTGAGGAGCCCCTCGGTCACACTGGGAAAGAACGCTCCCCTTTCTAGAATACATTTGCAAAAGGGTATATTGCCTCTCCAAAGACAAAAGGCCCTCATTCAATAGCAGGATATGGGCAGAGGGCAGATAACCTGGTCAGGTTTTTAGGTTTTTGCTGTGCTTTACCATAGCCTCCAAGTACCTGGGAAGCCATGTGACTGTTTTTCTGAGCTAGAACAGTGCCAGATGCAGGACTGTGAGGTTCTCGTCCAGGGGAGGGGAGCAGGTCCATGTCTTGCTGGGTCCTTTAAGATTTGGAGTTTTGAATCTGGCTGCCAGCCAGATATAAAACACAGAACTGTGACACCAAGCCTGCTAATGGCCTGGACATAGACAGAGGGTGGGGATCTTATGGAGGCCTGGGACACAGGAGGGGAGACTGTTTGCTTTTCCATGAGGGCCTCCTCAACAGCAGTGGCCATGAATTCCCCTTCCTGGGGTTGAGAAGGTGGGGTAATGTCATATTCAACACACACCACCCCCCACCTCCCAGACCTCCCGATCCCCCCAGCTCCCAACTTCAACCCCTACCCACCAGTATAGTCAGACTTCAGAAAGAAACATAGCACCTCCAGGGGAGGGTGGAATTATTTACACCAAACCCCACCCCCCTGTGCCCCACAAGGGCATCTTTTCTAGGGCAGGTCTGGCTCTGAGCCAGTACAGCAGGCTTCTGCCTCAGAACACCAAAGAGGCCCCCCTCATGTACGAAGTCTACTGATCATAGAGTACTCCAAAGCATCAGCTTCAGTTCTGGTGGAAATAGGACCAGACTTTTTTTCTTTTTTCTTTGGAATCTGGCTTATAATTTTTTGTTCATTTCTTTGGTTTGTTTGTTTCCTTTTCTTGTTTTTTGGATCAAGCTTCTTTTTTTTTCTTTTTGTTTTTCCTTCTTTTTTTTTTTCCTTGGAACCAGGCTTATAGTTATTGT